AGCGATCAGACTACGAGCGTTCAGACTACGAGCGTTCAGACTACGAGTGTTCAGACTGACCAGGTGCAGCAGCGACAGGTAACCGTTCAACACGTCGTCGTAGTTTAAGTGTGTGTTCTTCCAGCGGACCTCAGTGAAGTTCTCCATCATCAGATAGAAACACTCCGACTTGTTGTTCACAACCTCAGGTAAAAAGATTTCCTCTGCCGTCTCATTGTAACAGTAATAAAACTTTCCAGCAAACAGATTCACTCCCAGGATGCTGAAGACCATCCAGAAGACCAGAACCACCAGCATGAAGTCCAACATGGACGGGACAGTCCGGACCAGAGCCTGCACCACCACCTGCACACAGACGGGGGGAGAGGGAGACAGGTCATACTATCTGACTGTCTGAGACCTGCTGCCTGTCTGTCTGTGTTTACACTGTCTGCCCATATGTCTTTCTTTGAATTGCGGTCTCACCCTCAGGCCCTGGATGCGAGAAATGGCCCTCAGAAGCCCCAAAGCTCTCAAAGTCCTCAAAGACTGAAAGACTCCCAGTTCAGAGAATCCAAATGTGTCGGCAGCTATAGACACCAGGAACAACTGGAAGAGAAAACACAGTGTTAACATCAATCCTGGGACCATTTTAACTAGTAGAAACAATACTGGGACCAGATTAACCCTTAATAACTAGTAGAAACAATACTGGGACCAGATTAACCCTTAATAACTAGTAGAAACAATCCAGTTTACGTTACAGTTTACGATCATCAATATTTTACCAATAATCAGGGTTATGGATCTCTTCTCACCTGTAAAATGAGGAAGTCAATCCAGCTCCAGGTGTCGCTGAAGTATTTCTTGAGTCCGACGGCGATCCACTTGAGAATCATCTCCATGAGGAAAAGGCAGGTGAACACCTGATCCGCTCTGACCAAAACCGTCTTCAACACCTGACGGTGCTGCAGGTGAATGTCCTCAAATGCCTGTTCACAAACACACTGATGTTAGTACCTGACCAGGTGTGTAACGTCCTCAAACACCTGTTCACAAACACACTGATGTTAGTACCTGACCAGATGTGTAATGTCCTCAAACACCTGTTCACAAACACACTGATGTTAGTACCTGATATAATAATAATAATAATAATAATAATATTGTATGTTTGTCTTCACCAGAAAATTAATAATAATAATATATCATATTATATATATTTACCAGAGCTACACTGCTCAGCAGGATGATGAAGAAGATGATGATATCAAAGCATTTGTGCTGCACAATAGAGAAACAAGCTCTTCTGAAGTTAGACCAGACCCTCCATCGGCCACGGGACGTGTCTACATTCAGGAATGGACAGCAACGGTAACACTCTGACACACACACACACACACACACACACACACACACACACACACACACA